GCAGCCGCATCCCGCAGCCGCATCCCGCAGGGTGACCGCTGCCGAGCTGCGCCTAACGCACCTCCCTCCGCTGCGCGCGTGGCGCAGGGACGTCTCGGCACGTCGACGCGCACCGAAAATGTGGGTTTTTTAACAGTCATTTCACGCTTTTCCTCCCTGCGGGAGCGGGCGGGCGCGTTTGCCAGGAACGGCCAGCCCGGCGAGCGCGCAGTCGCGGGTTTGGGCTTTAGTCGAGGAAGAGGCCGCTTTGGGAGAAGAGCTGGGTCCAGCGGTCTTCACTGGTCCCTGGCGAAAGGCCGGGGACTTTCTGCCCCTGGTTCTGCTGCGCTTCAGCTCTTTTGGCATCCACCCCTCCCGTAGGTTCTGGTGGGCCGTAAGAGGTTCCCAGTCGTGAGTGTAGGGAGCGCGGTGCTTCGGACCGAGGGAGAGGATGATAACTGCTCAAAATGTAACTGCAAATAAACGCTCCCCAGGGAAGCCAGCTCCAAGGTAACGTTTCCTAATTTTCAGGAAGTTGCATGGAATAGAATAAAGGTGCAGCGTATAATTAAAGTTCAGATGTATTAATTAGGGAATCTGAGAGAGCTCGCTTGGAGATAAAAGAGTAGCAGATGTGCTAGTGATGAAAAGTTGACATGCTATAGAGGAAACCTAGAATCAAAAGCCCATGAAATGTTTCATGCTCCATTATTGCCGAGCGAATCCGTAGTTCAAAGTCTTCCCGACTACTTAGCGCATTCAGTTTGATCATCTGGGCATCGATATGTATTTTTTCTCTTGTGCATCTTCTCACATCTGCCTTCTCCTGCCCAGTAATTCCGATGAGGATGTGCCCCTGGACGTAACATGAACGCTGTAAAGAGCCACAGAGTTGAGTCTCACCAGGTCGAGTACGCCCCAGGAACGGTTATCGGGCACAAAGAGGAACGTCCCCGTGTCCGTGTTCCCCATTAACGACGCGCTAGTGGCCAAACCAAGAGGGTTCAGCTGAAATGATCAGAAAAGAACATTGGGTTTTTTTTGTTAAAAGATCTTGGTGAAATTCTTCATACCTTGCAGTTGACGTTTAGCAATGATGTCCTCGTTTCTTTGGATTTATCCCTGTCTTTGAAGTCGTTTTTAACGTCCCGCTGACGTGTACCCGGAGAGGAAGGATAGCGAGGCTGAGGGCCCCGGGAAGGCAGCGGGAGCCGGAGCCGTCCCATGCTGTGGGTGTCGAGCCGTGCAGCGCAGCGGGGCCCCTCGCCCCACCCAAACCTCCCACCTGGGTTTTCCCGTGTAGACGTGCCCGTGTAGAACCCCACCGAGCACCGCTGTGTCTCTCTTTGTGCGTGTAAACCGTTGTTTTTGTTGTGGAAAGCGTGCAGTTTATTTCTCTTATGCCTCTCCCATCCCATCTCTCTCTCTCATTGACTAATTTGCGCTGGGTTTTGTTTATCGCTTTCATTTTTTTTAGCCTTGCAGAAGGGAAGGAGGGGGAGAGCTCGGGGGCCAGATCCTCCGGGCGGGGC